CCACCAAAAACCACACCCCAAAAAATATGTGTCAGTGTTCTCACGTTGATTCAGAGTTTGTAGTTATTCTGCAGGGGAGGGAGATTGATATTAAATTGGAATGAAGACTATAAGCACATAATCAGGATGAAACATTGCTGTAAAGTTGATGATTGTATAGTACAGTGAAGAAAATTGTAGCCCTGAGCATGCAGATTATTAAAGATTGTTTGTAACACAGTCTTCAGCTAATGAACTTGAGATCCACACTTGAAACTAGTCAAGTGTGGAACTCTGTTGCCAATTTAGGATTTTACGAGGTGCAAGATGTTTAGTTGTTGGTGTAAGTTTAATTGGTTTTGAGACTAGCCTAGACATGTACTTAATGGGGATTGCACTGAAAATTTACTTTAGATGAATGTCAGTCGGTTAGCATTGTTTATGGAGACAGTGCAGTGGTACAGCAATATGCATATTGGCAGAATGGTGTGACATTTAATCATTCACATTACCTTCTCCACCCATCTCCCCCTTGCTTCCCTGTAGGAATTGAAAAATAAAGAGAAAATCTTTCTTTTCAAAGAGGTGAGTGTCAGAAGGCAGTTCTGGACACAAAGGAGATTTTCCCTCATCCAGCCACTCTGCTGTAGAGAGGAGATGTATGTACAGGTAGTTCTCCTATGATAGTTGTGTTCTTGTGTGACCTCATGCTATAGAAAATTGGCATAGAAAATCCTGAGTACTGAAAAAGGCTGATACCCAAAAGGTTGACTGCTCCTTTCCTCCAGATGCTGCTTGGCTTGGTGTGTTCTTCCCACATCCTGTTTGTCTACCATGGATTTCAGCATTTGCAGTTTTTCTGTCTCTGACCAACTTGTACCGCTGCAAAGTCTCTTCAAAGGATGCCCACTTTGAAGATGTTCTCTGCCTCCCTCAGACATGAACTCAGTGAGTCCCTTTGTCACTGCCACACTGCTATGATCTCTTCAGCCTTTCGGCTCTTTAGAGTCCTGAAGAAGGGTAATACACGAAATGCTGATTGCTCCTTTTCTCCAGATGCTGCCTGGCTTGCTGTGTTCTTCCAGCCTCTCATTTGTCTACCTCCCCTTAATTTTGTCTGCTAGTGGTGTCAGTTTGTGGCTATCTACCCTCCAGGTATCTTAGGCTTCAGAGTAGACTCTGATCCTTGAATAATACTCTAGAATTAATCAGCTGTGGCGGGAGGGTGTCCCATTCTTTCAATGCGCCTTAAAGTGGCCTCATCTTCCTGTTCCAATGGTTCAGATTGCTGTTTATTTGAGAAGTGAATAAACTTGTTCTAGCCCAGCTGACTGATTTGGTCATCCACTTCATTACTATTTGCGGCATCATACTGTGCTAAATAACATCTTTTTTTAGTCTGATTGCCTTACTCACTGCAAATGATAGTTTGTGCTTCCTGTTTAACAGTGTTTGGGTCAGAAGGTGACCCTCTGAAACTGTCCATCACCCTGAAGGTTGGGGGAATTGAAACAAATAAATAAGCTGCCCCCTCCGCTTTCCCAGTTCAATTGCTGAAGCTGACTTGTACTAAGTAGGTCAGTGATTTCTGGATCTACTAACAGTTTGCATGGACTCCTGTTGTGAATAGCAGGCAAAGTAGAGCAAGGCTTTAAGCATCTGTGGATTGTGTCTTGACATTTTCAGGATGTAAAAAGGACAGTTGGGAAACAAAACGGATAAATTTATGAGATTGCATAAGTAAGGAAAATGTTATTCAATCACACCTTCCAGCTGCCTTCCTCTCCCCCTCCCATAAAATATGTAAATACTCCAGACACGAACTCTCCAGGCAAACCACAACACTCATCATTGAGAAAGATGAGGAGGACACACCCATAGAAACACTGCTGCCTGCAAGTTACCCTCCAATTAATTCACACATCATCCTGACTCAGGAATACATTGCAGTCCCTTCACTATCACTGATGAAGTAAAATTCAGAAATCCCCTCCCTACTAGCACTCTGTGTACCCATGCCACATGGACTGCCATGGTTCAAGAAGGCAGATCACCACCACCACCACCTTTTTTAGGGGCAATTTAGGGATGGGTAATAAATCTATGCCTTGCCAGCCAAGGCTGCATCCCATGAATAAATAGGGAAAAACTATTTCTCTGTACGAAAATTCCTCTTTCACAGAGATCAGGAGCCCCTGACAAAACAGTTCAGGGCGAAGTATGGTGAAAATGCTTAGAGATTACTTGACAATGCTCACTCTGTTGCCAGTTAAAACAGTCACTGTCTGCCGATGCATATATAATTTGCTGACTCAAAAGCAGAGCACTGATACAGATGGTGTGCCGTACTGTAAACCCCCTTTGTGCAATCCAGAGCTTAAATAAAGAACCTTGTGTCATTGCATTTGTTTGCCTGATGCAAATGATATGAAAATATTAGAACTGCAACCTGAGAAAAAATAGCTTCACAGTTGCATCTGTTACCCTTGTGAGCAGTAAGACCTCATTCAAGAAAGAGTTTGGTACTTACGGTTATACCAAAGACTGGCTCAAAGCCCAAACAGAAAGGGAAATGTTTCAGGGGAAGTATTCAGCAGTTTCACAGGCAGTGCTTCTGTTTGCATTATAACTGTTTGAGTGGAGAGTGCCAGGTTTGTTTAAACCCCTCCCTCACCAGCTGATATTCTTGGAGATGGGGTCGGGGAGAAATGTGTCAATAGTATGGCTCTATCTTGTCATCCAGTGTATGGGTCTATGTTGTGGTACCAGCAGGAGAGCAAAATAGGAGGAAACAGAACTTCTTTTGCAGGGACTCGTAAAAGTTTATGAGATGAATAAAGTCAAAATAGACTCTGAAGAGAAAGTTGGCATCTGGGCTTTGCATCCAGCCAAACATAATTCAACCAAGCTGCTGGAGAGCCCATTATTTTCACCAGGGTCGTGCCATTTTCAACACCTAAATCACAGGGCGATTTAGTGCCTGGTGTTTTAGTTCAAGGGTTGTTAAATTAATGGCATGCGCTACCCCTGTGCAGTGGTTAATGTCATAGTATGATACACTTAAAGCTGGGTTAAGTGGTCATTGCACCAACTCCCAACCTCCAGCACACTCCCATTCCAACCACAGTGGGTTTCATTCAGTTGGATTCTTTTGAAAAGATTTATGTCCTACCAGATAGCGTGCAGCTAAGGAACAATAATTCTGTGTCTTAGTCTGACGTGTGCCTGGCTGTTAAGTGTGGGATGAGAGGTGTGTGTGAGAGTTTGCGGACTGGGTGTTGGTGTGGGTTGTGGGGGGCAAGTTCACTTTTGGCAGTATGGACACATTGTTGACAAATTTAGGAAGTTGGCTAAGTGGGAGGAGACTGAAGTGATAATGGGCAGGTGCGCTAACCAGCTCAATGTGACTCAATGTCCCACAAGGATCTATGTTAGGGTTACAACGACTCACCACGTTTATAACCACTTAACTGATGGGATAGAAAGCTACATATTCATATTTGTAGGAAGCACAAAGAAAGGCAACACTAATTGGTATAAATGGGAGCATTAAACTAAGAGAGATTAATGAATGGATTGAATGGAAATGCTTTGACAAATATATTTCAATGCAGAAAAATGTGAGGTCCTGCTCTTTGGGCCTAAGCATGATGAAATATAGTATTTTCTAAATGTTGAAAACTTGAATAAATGGAAGTTCAAAGAGGCTAGTGGAGTTTGGTTAATAGTTCAGTTAATATGTTCACTGTTAGGGCTAAATAAATAAATTGTTACTTGTTGCTTATAGAGTGACTGTCAGGAGTTTATTTCATTTAACGACTCCATTATAAACAGATGTGGAGTGTGAGAGGCAGGTTATACCACTTTTCACACTTCTTTTAACGGATTATATATCGAAGTGATCCTCTCCAGGTGCTTCAGTTTTAGTTATCGGGGTGGGGGGTCGATCTCTGCTTTGTCTATATTGTCAAGATCAATTTGTCTAAATGACATGCTAATACCAGGAAAGACCAATAAGGAGCATGTACACGTTTCCCTGAGGCAGGTGTGCGCCTTAGAATGGAAAAATATGAATGTTTGATTTGATTTGATTTAAGGTTTTTAAGTTATTTAGAGGAATGGATCTGGGAGCAGATTGAGCAAAATGTTTGTTTTTGTTTTTGCTGCTGCGGGGATCTAAAACTAGAACATTTAATCTGAAAGTAGGATCCAGAATCTTTCATGATTGAAACTAGGAACCATTTCTTCACTCAAAGGTGATAGAAGTTTGAAATTGTCTTCCACACAAAAAGAAAGGATTCAGTCTTGGATGTGACCGAGGCCTGCTCCACCTGATCTAAGTGTAACGAGATCCTGTGGCACTGTTTTGAAGAAGACCAGAGGAATTTATCTCTGGCTTATATTTAATCCTTGACTGCAAGCACCAAAACAGATAATTTTACTTTATTACATAATTTGTGGGAGTTCGCAGTGTGAAAATTGTCATTTCCTACATTAGAACAGTGACTACACTTCAAACTATGCCAATGGCTGTAAAGTTTGAACCATCCAATTGTCAGGAAAAGCACTATGTAAATGTAAGTCTTCCTTAACACTAGTGTTGTTCCTTCAAGAGGAGGGAAAGTCCTGCCAGAGATTACATTGGACATTAGTCTTGCATTGGCTTCAAGTGCAGCTTTGATTTCTCTTTTTAAAGGAACTGAACAGCCTACCCAGTGTACAGCCAGTATAATTCAAGTATGGGTCCTTAGCCCCTTACTATTTTTATAACAGAAGTTCTAACACGTTGCATCAAATGTTCTTTAAGGTCCACCACAGCCTTCCTTTAGCCATTGTCACCCTTGGTCTGGTGATATTTCCTGAAGGTTCTAAGCCTACAATGTGAGCCTATTTTTTTTTATCTCCTGCCTCCTGCTCTGTCTCTGCCCCATCCCTCTCATCGACTGCCACTTAGCCATTTTATTTGAGACTTTCTTAGGAAGATTCATTAACTGTTGTTATTTTGTTTATTGTTTTTGTAGGTATAAGTCCAATGAAGATTATGTTTATGTGCGAGGGCGAGGAAGGGGAAAGTATGTGTGCGAGGAATGTGGGATTCGCTGTAAGAAACCCAGCATGCTGAAGAAACACATTCGCACACACACAGACCTCCGGCCATACGTCTGCAACTATTGTAACTTTGCGTTCAAAACCAAAGGTGAGAAAGTCTTTTCTCTTTCTTGCGCCTCAAAGTTTGCAGTCACACCCCACACCCTCCGCCCATTTCCATACCTCTCCAAAGCCAAGCCCTGGGAGATGCCACAACATGCCTGATCCTTGGTGACCATCACCATGGGAACAGCTGATGGGAAACCCTGTCATACATGGCACTGAGGTCTAGGCCTAGTCTACATCTGCTTAGACATCTGACCTCCACTACTATGGGGGAAAGGGAAATGCTGAAAATGGCAGAGTGGCTAGATGAGAGGTTGGTTCAGTGGAAGCTTAGTTTTGCTGTGGTTCACAACAACAAGGACTAGCATTTATTGGCATAATTAATGTTGTAAAGTGTCACAGCATCATTTTCAAACCATTCCAAGCAATATAAAGAAGGATTTTAAGACAGATATCCAAACAATTAGTCAAAGAAGTAGGTGTTTTTGAGCATTTTAAGTGAGCTGAGAGACAGGGACCAGATTAGAGAGGGAATTCCAGAAGTTAGGACCCAAGTTAGATAGAAATTGACAATGCATGAGAGGCTAGAACTGAAGAGTGCAGAGATTTTCCTGTCCAGCTAGAAACTAAAGAAAATGTGTGAGAACAAAATTCAGGGTGATAATAGAACAGCAGAATGGTTATAGCTCAGAAAGAGACCATTAGGCCCATTGTGTCTGTACTGACCTTCTGCAAAAGCAACTCAACTGGTCATACTTCGTAAATTGTTGAGCAACCTTCACAGCCCAGGATTGCATCCCCTATATCATTTTGAGCATGCGAAGGAAGAGGACTAAACAGGAGAATCTATCCGCTGTTTCTCACTGTGACCCGAAATTGGATTCGACCAAAGTCATTCATAACACTACTTAATTATTATTTGTTTTGCCTCAGTCTCCTGAGCTAACAGTTTGGCAGATGTGGGATGGATAATTTAAAGGATGTTGGTGGAGCATGTGATGTTGAAGGTGTGTCCATTAACTCCTTCAGAAAGGAACTGCATACATTTCTGAGGTTGGAGGAGATGAGACAGGCACAGACTAAGGACATTCAGTGGGAATTTCTCTAAAGAAAGGACTTGCATTTGTACAGTGCTTTTCACAAATTCAAAATATCAAAAACGGCTTACAACCAATGAAGTAGCTTTGAAGTGTAGTCCCTGTTGTAATGTGGGAAATGTGGCAGCCAATTTGACCACAGCAGAGTTCAGTAAAGAGCTGTGTATTAATAAACAGATAATCTGTATCCGTGATATGGTTTGGGGAATAAACAAGACAAAGGTATGCTTCTTCAAAATAGTTTCCTGTATTCATCTGCCTGAGGTGGCAGTCCCCACTTCAGTTTAATGTTTCATTCTAATGGACAATAAATGATGCAGCACCATCTTGCTGCTGCACCAGAGTGTTAGCCTGACTTGAACCTACAATCTTCCGATTCAGAGGCAAGTGTGCTGTCCACTGTGTTTTACTGACAAGCTGCTGCTCCTCCCAAATAATTCTAAGTCCCGTGCAGTGACTTGGGCATCTCTGGTTTTGATCCCAGAGCCTAAGGCAGTTTGGTTGATTTAAGATGCAGGACAACCACGACTTCGCTGAAAGAGGGCTAACTGAGCGATTCCTGTTCCTATAAATCAGATCCACTCCCTCCTGCTGTGTGAGCAGTGTTGCTTTGAATCTGAGGTTTGCGTAACTAGCTTATCACGGGGGAACAGTATCATGCCGTAAAGCGATGAATTGAAAATGTCGGAACATATTTTGAAAAGTAAATAGAAAGTTTCCAGCTGATGGTCTTTTTTGGAACACTCAGCAGACTGGAAGCAAAATCCAAACAGCTGTTTCAGGAAATTTGGTCTTTAATCTGAAGGCACTTGCTGTTCTAATAAAAGGTATTTTGTACTGTTTTGTTAACTGAGAGGCCCACCTGCCCTTTCTAGAGGAATAATTTTCTTTGGCAGTTCTGTCTGTCATGTGGGTGGTACACGCAGGGGTACTGCCAGCTTCTGTTGATCTCTGCATTCTCAGATATTAGCGCAAATTTATCAGTTCGCTGTAACTCTCTCAGAACCGCAGGCTTCCATCTTGGTTGTTGCAGAGAATTTTTCCCTACGTTCATAAATGATTGTGTCATTGCCATGTTTTTTTTTTCCACCAGTCAATGTATTTTGCTGAATATGTGTCAGAAGCTGAACAAACAAGTTGCACAGTTGTGGTTCTGGTGCCGACAGAAAAGAGAGGAAGACTTGCATTAATTATAGCATCTTCCATGACATCAGGACATCCCAGAAGTGCTTCTCAGATTTCCAATTGCTTTTGAGTTTTGTAATATCAGACAAGCAGCATCCAAGTTGCACACAGCAATCTTTCTCAAATGGCAATGTGATGATAATGTTTTAGTGATGTTGGTTGAGGGGGAAAATATTGATGAGATTGCAGAGAACTTGTCTGTTCTTCGCATTGCACTATGGGATTATTTGGGATCCATCCGCGAGGACTGAGAGGACCTTGGTTCAACATCTCATCCAAAAGACGGCATCTCTAAAAGCATGGCACTCCCTTAGTTCTGCAATAAGTATGCCCATCTAGATTATGGGTTCCAAACTCTGGGGCAGGTTTACACCCATAAATTGCTGGCTCAAAGGAGCCTTACTACCAATGCAACATTAAATACTATTCAACAGTGAAACTATGGGCAATATGGCTCTAATTTGCAGACTGTAACTCCAGGTCTTAGAATCTGTAAACAGTGGGTATAGTTTCTTACTGTATCTACTCCACTTGACTTTGATCAAATCTCCCATTAATCTTCTCACTACAAGAGAATACAACCATAGTTTGAGTAATTTCTCCTCAAAATCTAACCGTTGATATCCATGTATCATTTTGGTAAACCTTAATTTGTCTCAGGTATGACCTTAAGGTGTTGTTCTCAGAAATGCATACAGTACTCCATCTGTAATGTACCTCATGCCTCTTCCCTCCCAAGGTAGTCAAATGGCCCCATGGCATACTTGATGTTTGGCCTGTTTGGTGCAGTGCTGAAGGCCTGCGCGATTGCAAAAAGCCACTCCTCAATAAGTATCGTAGATCATGGTATATATGTTGAGCCGGGTTATATAGCAGCTCAAGATTTTTTTGGTGCTGAAATTAACATCAAGGGCTACACTTGGCAATGTACAAGTCAACCCCCAGTTCTGCTAAGAAATACTTCACTTGCATTTGGAGTCAGCTTCAATCATTCGCCTTGGAGATGCACATTTTATCCCTCTCATGGAATCAAGCAGGTGGTATCGGATGCATTGCCAAGAAGATGGGTTGGAGCTTTAGGCACATTCACACAGACCAGGCTCTGGTGAGCTGTGAACAGAAATAGACATTCCTGCAAAAAGCTTAAGATGCAAGATTGGTTTCAAGCTAAAAGCCATTTGCTAAGCCTTCACATTACGAGGTGGCAGCAAGGGCATTTGGTGTCTATGAATACCTGGTGCAGGAATGGAAGAAGAGAAAATGTGTCTTGAATAATTTGCCCAGGGCCAAATGCACCATGAGAACAGGGACCTGGTCTCAAGAAGCATGTGATAGAATGAAAACCATCAGAATGCTTGCATTATCACCAGAAGTACCGCGTGTATATGCACCCTTGAGGGGTACAAATAAAACGTTGAACCCACCAAAGATCTCCAAGAAAGTTAGTTGGTGTAGCCACTTTGCGGAATGAAATAGCGTAATGTTGCAGCAGAAGATCAAGATGGCTCAAAGACTGCAAAAAAAAAATCAGTCAGTTGAATGACTTTGAATTCCTGGCATTAAATGCCAAAGAAAATGAATTTGATAGTTTTTAAAACATTTTGATTGAGGTTAAAAACATCTTTGAAGAGTTACTTCATTCACAAAAAGTGTCACATTGATTTAAATTGAATCACTGGTGTTATGTTTTGTTTTGCATTTCAAGATAGCAATCAGCTACACGAATACTGGAGGTTCATATTTTATACTCAATGTGTAATTCATGTTAGGACTCTTGTGCTACAGTGGTGATGTCCCTACCTCTGGACCAGGAGTGCTTAAAACTCGTGTTCCACCTGCTCCAGAAGGGTGTAATAACTCCTCTGAACAGGTTGATTAGGAAATAAGTATACTTCACGGTGTAATGATAGCAATTTTACCTTTTGGGCTGTGTTCAAATCCCACCTGCTTCAGAGGAACGTCTGAATAGATTGACTGAAAATATCGATAATTTGGCTCATATTTTTGGCAGGGTTTTGAGCTTTTAAACATCCACTTTTATAATGTGATCTTATTTGGAGTAAATAACTTCTAAAATTGCTGCTGGTACAGTGTTAAAACAATTCATATCTTTGCCACGTTTCAAAAGTAGAAATTTTGTATTTCAGGTCTCTCGCATTCACATTCTTTTAATATTGGTCATAATTACATTTCAAGAGGATTTTGAGTCTGAGGCTAATTTATCATTGGAAAACACACTTGCATCTTTTCCCTATTGTCCTGAAGCAGGGCTGGGGAAACTGACATGATTGTTCAGCACAAAGACTGGCTTTTACTCATTGCAAGTACAGGATGAGAGGATGTTTTCCTTCATAACACTGGTCATGGTCACAAGCTAAATTAGTTCTGACAGTCTCAAATTAGGTTTCTTAAGAGCTGAAGGCCACAATTACAGCAGAAGAACAGGCTCAAATTGAGTGCTAATTTGACAACTTTGGTCATTGAGATGGCCTGTGTCAGAGGGATTGTCGAGAGATGGCCATGTCATAGCTGCCTGTTAGGGTTGTTCTTTTCTCCATATGTTCTTAGGGTGACCCCCTTGTCTGAAATAAAAAGGGAATATCAGCAGGAAGGAGGAATTCAGTTAGCATTTCAGTTCGATGACCTTGTATCTCACTTCTTTTTTAAACTGGTACTTAAACTGTGCTATAGTTGGCCCGAGGGTATGCAGTGTTGTCTACAGGTGAAAGATAAGTACAATAATCCTTTGCTTACTGTTCTATTTAAGACAGAAATAGATAGGTTCTTGTTGGTAAGGGGATCAATGGTTACAGGGAGAAAGCAGGAGAATGGGGTTTGGAAACATATCAGCCGTGATCGAATGGCAGAACAGGCTCAATTGCTCAAATGGCCTAATTCTGCTGCTTGTTCTTATGGTGGCCACATTCCTGAAAAACACAACTTTAAAAGAAACATTTGAGCAAATCTGGTTTTCTTGTTACAGGTATTGCAAAATCAGTTGTTTGTCTCATAGAACCTTACTCTTCAGAGAAATACATCATACCATCTACTGGGTGTGTCTAATGGAAAGAGATGCCTAAGGTTCTTTGTGGACTACTGCTCTAAAACACATACCGTGTTCATAAATATAGCCGTGTTAAAAATGAAATAAGTTTAAAGTTGTCCAAAAGAAATGTGCAAACTCTTTTTACTTCATTTCTGCACAGAGCATTTCCCACTTGTCAGCCCTTCCAATCACCAGCCTTCCCAATCCCTATTTTTCTCTCTCTTTCCTGTTTATTCTCACCATCTGCTTCCTTTTCCCAAATACTTGCTGGGAGCGAGGGCTTGGGAAACAGAAGCGAGTGTGAAGACTCGAGATAGGGAGTGGGAAGCAAGTGGGAAAGATGGCAACTGGGAAAGGTGGCTCCAAAATGACAGTAATTGAGTCACGTGATTCTACATGAGCCTCGTACATGTTGATGCTAAAACCGAAATCCTGACACTAATTGCACATATCAGCCTCATTATATTTGCAATGTTAAACTTAAGACAGGGCAACTTGAAAAGCGGGTTTGTTGTAGCATTTTGTTGAACATCTGTCAATCCTTGCGAAGACAATGCAATGCAGAGCTGGTAGGAAAATCAGAATGAAGCAGCACAAACGCAAGGCATTCAGTCTTTGATACTGTGCCAGCTGTTTAAAGAGCTACGCAATTAGCCACACTCTTCTGTCCTTACCCTGTAGCCCTGCAACCTCTGCACTTCATGTATTCATCCGATTCTCTTTTGATAGTTAGTTAGTTAGTTATTTATTTATTTATTTATTTTTGAATCTGCTTTCACCTCTCTTTCTGACCATTGTTTTCCAAATCACAGCAGCTCACTGGGTTTTGCAAACAAAGCTTTCCCCCCCCCACTCCTTTCTGGTTCTTTTGTCAATTCTTCAATCTTTGTTTCAATGCCTTCAATCTTTGTTTTCTACTAATCTACCCTTCTGCCACTTAAACACAATATCTTTAATGATTCTGCTAATACTGTTCATGATTTTAAATAATACTATTAAATCTCCCCTTTGTCTGCTCTGGAGAGAAAAGCCCCAGTCTCTCTAATCATTCCATAGACACCCTGCACCCCTGGCAGTGTTCTGGTTGAAACACAATGGTCTTCTGTTGGAAGACTGCAATTGATTTAAAAAATGACCAGTACTCCTGACACCAGCTCCGCTGAAAATGGAAAGGGGAATTCTGAACCCAGTCAGCTGAATTGGAACAATCATGACTCGCTTTGAGTCTTTTCCCACAGCCTTCAAATGTGATGCTGCATAAGACAGACCAATGTCTTCCTTCTGTGCTGCCTGCAGGACAACCATACGGATGTAAAAGATTCCCCCATCACTATCACACTAGAAGAGCAAGGGCATTCTCCTCTTTGTCATGGATCGGTTTTTATCTCTCAGCCCATATCTGTCTGATCAGTGCCATATTGCTGTTTGTGGGAACTTGCTGTGCGTGAATTGGTTGCCATGTTATGACAGTGACTGAACTTCACAATGTACTTCATTACGGTTAAGGTGCTTTGGGAAGGCCTGTAGTTAGAAAGGGTGCTAAATAAATACAAGTCTGTCCTTTCCTTATGTCTTCAGTTTTACGCCTGCGCTGAATTTCAAAGTCACCGTCTTTACCTTTGCAACTTTAGACATCCCCTAATGTAAAGCAGATGCCACAGCATTTAGCAGTGTGAGAGTTGCATTGCTGGCCCAACCACTGGACTGATGTGAGGGGTCATCAGAATATACTGAACACAACAATTGCTGGAGATCACAGCAGGTCAGACAGCTGACCCGCTGTGATCTCCAGCATTTGTCATTCTCTGTACAGATTCCAGCATCTGCAGTAATTTGCTCCTACATCAGGATATACTGAGCAGGTTTGGCAGCATATGTGCAGAGAAAAACAGTCAAGATTTCTTTTCCTTTGCTTGCGACTACTGAGGTGCTGTTGAGATGGTGCAATAATGCATGTGCTGTTTTATGCAAATTTGGTTAACCATGTTGATGATTAAAGCCACTGATACTTAACCCTTCAATAGTTGCTTTATTGGGCATAGCAGTAGAGTTTCAGTAGCAGGTATTGGCACCAGCATTTCAACAGCCTCTAATAAAGTTAAATTATCACCAGCACCATCGTCGAGAGATACTTTGTCCTAAGATGTTTTGTAAAGAATAGGAACTGGATGTCACTGTGCTAAAGGATGGAAAAATGAAAACTGAGTTTAAGCTTTGGTTTACATGACAGAGAAACTTTGAATAATACTTGCAAGTGATCTCTCTTCAGGCACTACCCCCACCCCTTTGTCTTGATCCATGCTCAGAATATTCTAACATCCCTCGATCAGGACTGCAACAAAGATTGTTGCCTTGCTGTATGCATGTTCATGATATTTCCTGCTAACGTTCTCTGGCACAAAACTAACATTGACTGAAGTGTCAGCTGTGGCTCAGTGCCAGGTATTCTCCCCTCTGAATCAGATGATAGTTAGTTTGAGTCTCCCTTCAACAACCTGAATACAAATCCAATCTGACACTCCCAATGCTGTTGAATGGTCTGTTTTTCAGACGCCATATTATACCAAGTTCCTTGTTGCCCTCTGAAGTGAAAAATCCTATGGCACAATTTGAAAGAAGAGCAGTGGAGTATGCCTCACTGTGCTGTATTTATTCCTTAACTGACGTCACTAAAAACAGACAATCTGGTCACTAACTCGATGCTGGTTGTGGGATTTTTCTGTGTGCAATTTGACTCTTCCTGTATGTAATTTGGCTGCACCACTGCTGCAGTGACTACTCTTCAAAAAGATTTTGGTTGTAAAATGCTTTGGGGCAGCCTGAGGTTGAGAAAGGTGCTATGTAAATGCTGGCTCTTTCTTTTGTGGCATGAACATGAAATAATTGAAGTACAGAATGGGAAGTGAACCTTGATCTTTTAGCCTCAGTGGACCATTGTGACGGTACATTTGTTAAACCTCCGTCGCTGTGTGCTGGGGTGAGGGAGGCTTGTGCCTCACATTGCTAAAATGTATGCATTTAGCTGTACATAAAACGCACGATGCATCAATTCTGAATGTTGTGCTGTCACAGATGCTGTATTGCTAGAAACTGATTGCAGGAACCTCAACAGTCAATGAGAGGCTATAAAATAGACAAGCAGAGGGGGAAAAATATTTGAGCATTTGAGTCATTTAGATCACAACCTTGCTGTCACCAGGTGATAGATCAGCTTCGCCTCTTCGCCCAGCCAATGCTGAGCAACATTACAGCACAGTATCATTAGGTTGATTTATGAAGCTTTGGAAGGAGATTGCCTGAGGAAGCAGATTAGCCTCATTCAGACGTTAATTGAGCAGAGACTGGCCATTCAGCCAAGTAGCAGCCGAATGTGATTTACTGCCTCAAAACCAGCTAAACTCCTCACTGTTTGTGTTCTTCAGGGAACTTGACAAAGCACATGAAGTCAAAGGCTCACAGTAAGAAGTGCCAGGAGATGGGAGTGGCTGTTGCATTAATGGAAGACGTGGAATCTGAAGAAGGTACCTTGGGCATGTTGCATCAATTAATCCCGATGGGAATGTTTAATGATTTGTATTTTGAACTGCTGCTTCAGTGTGGCCTTCACCCTAACAACAGGGCTTACAATTTTCTGCCAGAAACAAGTAACCAATCAGTTGATTTGAGCGCATTCATAGGTCATTTCAAAGGACTGAAGGTTATTTCCGTTGGGTTCACAATCTATGGGAAAAGTAGCAAAGGACCTATCTGTACTGTCACTCTGTCGTGGCTGTGAGTTAAAGTGCTCTCATTGACATGTGCCACAAATGCACATTGCAAATTTACAACCTCCTACTCCATTAACCTTAAACAGGAAGATGGGGGGCAGTTTCTGTTGCCCAGTTAGTAGTGTCTCTGCCTCTGAGCCAGAAAACCTGGTACTCATTAATCACGGAGGGTGCAATTTTCATATGGTTCAATAGATTAATCATTAGTTTGTGAACACTTCTCATCTATTGTCCAAAGAGGGAAAAGAAAATTAAACCCAAAATGCAGGCTGGGAGCTCGCAGTTTGTAGAACATGATCCAGTGTACATGTCAGGGAGAAGCCAAGGGGTCCTTACGCAGTACAAAAGTGTTTACAAAATTTCCCACTTTTCTCTCCTTTTTGGGGGTTTTAGTGGGATGTTAGGTTCGTCTTTTGGGTTGTGTGCCACGTTGGAAGAGCAGCCTGTACTGTTGCTGGAGAAAATTAAATGCAACGCACATTGTTGACCAACAACTTGCATTTATTTAACCTCGTTAACATTGTAGAATATCCCAAGGTACTTCACAAGGACAGTAATCTGATTCGGAGCCACACTGGGCGATATTAGGACAGGTGACCAACAGTATGGGCAAAAAGGTAAGTTTTAAGGGACATCTTCTTAGAGGAGAGAGAGAGAGAGGTACAGATAGACCAACCTCTTTGAATTTCTGACTGTGCTCCTGTGAAGCACCTTGCAATGTTTTACCAGGCTGAAGCCACTGTATGAATGAAAGTTGTTTGTTGTTGAATCTGAGCCATCCAGGCACTTAAGACTGTGGTGAAAACAGAAATTGCAGGAGAAACTCGGCAGGTCTGGCAACATCAGAAAGGTCACTGGACTCAAAATGTTAACTCTTTTTTTTCTCCATTTATGCCAGACCTATTGAGTTTCTCCAGCAATTTCAGTTTTTGTTTCAGATTTCCAGCGACAACAGTTCTTTGTTTTATTTAAGATTGTGGAACTAGTTAATAATTGCCCTGTGAATGAGATGGTTGATTTATATGCAGAAAAATCTGTGCTGATATCAACCCATCTGAAGTAACACTTGACACTTAGCATTGGCCCTCAGTACTCCTCAAGTCATTTGGAGGTCTGCCTACATTTCCATCAGAGGCCACCTGCCCAGGAAATAATCTCAGCACGATCGGGTTCCAGACCCTGTTCCGTCATGTGAATCATCAGCTGAGTGAGCTTTGCGCTGAAAGAAAAATACCTGACGGACGGCTCCGAGGTTCCCAAGTCGACCAGATTAATCTCCGTCATTTTTTGAACTGATGCCAATGTTGGTTGACGTGATAACCCTTCTTGTCATTAGTGAAGATTACAGTCACAATATCTGAGCATGAAACTTTACCTGTAATCAAAGGTTAGCTGCTGTTCATTTAGGCGAGCCTAAAGGTGAAGAACTAACATTTCAAGGATGCATTTGACATTATCAAATTTTTGAAATTTGTATTGAAATGGAATTGCTGCCACATTTAGTTCACAGAGAGATCGAGGTCCCCTTGAGGTTAGTCACTGTGTAGAATTTCAGGTTCCTGCACCAGAGGTCATGGACGATCAATGGATAGAGGAATAGCAGACTGGATCCATTGGGAACTTCAATTCTCGCTGTCCTAATACCCTGTAATCTGCAGCCAGAGAATCTGCTGCACTCCCAGGCCCAGAGCAAATTAAATCGTTGATATGCATTGACATCATTATCCCTGTCAAAGAACTGGAGTTGAAGAGGGACTGATGGCAGGATTTAGAGCAGTATTTATTCTACAGTAAACAAAGTCTATTTAGAGTAAAGAACATAATGTTCTTATGAGGAATTCAGAGTTCTACCTACAGACCCAGAACCTTCTGTTATCAGATGTGCTGTGCAGTGAAGTTTAGAGGTATCGTTATTCAGAAGTGCTTGAGGTGAGATTTGTGATCAAAATGACCAAGGCAAGTTGGCTTTTTGTGAATTATTTAAAAACATGCACCTGAGGCAGATACATCAAAAGAATGAGCAAAATCTTTAGTTTCCCAGTCTAGGCTTTGGGAATCCCAATCCAGAATTGAGTGTAGAAACTAGGCTGACCTATCAGTGTGTTACAGAGGGAATATTGCTTTCAGGTGCCACCTCTAAAATACCATGTCAGACAAAGGACCCATCTGCCCCCTCAAGAGGACATAAAACTGTTGTTGTCAGTACTTCAAAGGACAGAACTCCACTGTATCGTGGTCAGTATTTAACCCTTGACCGACAAGACTGAAATGTGTTAACTGGTCTTTATCGCATCGCTGTTTGTGGGATCGTACTGTGCATACATTGTTTCCTATCATTGCAACACCGATGGCACTTCAGAAAAGTACTTGATTGCCCACAGAGCACATTGGAACATTGAGAAGGTGCCAGAGCTGATACCTGATATAGTTCGCAGCTGTTTATATTAAAGATAATAATACAGTAACCACTGATGCAGACATACTCGTCTATATACTCCACTGTCCTGAAAGAGTTTTATAAAGAGTGAGGTTGCTTCTACAGCTCTCTGACTAGCCAAGTGTGTGATGGAGCCTGTCACATTGCAATCAGCTAGACAGCCCCTGAAATAGCATGACCTATGCTGATAGCAGTCAGGGGGAACAGAAGCTATTGCTCTTTGCTTCATTGCCCATTTGGGCTAGGATGTAAAGTGCTACTTCTGTAGACAGGGTCAGCTTGGCTGTGATACATCCCATAATTGAATAGCTAGACCTCCTGTGCTTGGATAAGTTACGAGAGGGGCTGAAGGCAGGACTAATCCCAATAGGATGTGTGCTTTCGGAAGAACCGGGGAAAAAATTGAGTGAAGGCAGTGACTTTAAAAAGGCCATTAGTGAGTTCAGATCAACAACAATAACTTGCAATTGTAAAGCACCTTAAGTGTAACAACTTCCCAAGGTGCTTCCTAGTAATGTGCTTCTGCGAAATTTTGTTTAGTAACATGAGCAAACAAGAGTATAAGTGACAAAAATAGTACATGTGACAATAAAATCTAAACAAAATCAAAATAGATGGATCTAAACGTGGGTCTAAAAAGAGAAAAGTGAAACAGCCAGGTTAAAGGAAAGGTGTGTGATCCTGAGTTTAGGACCATGCACACCCACCAATCCCAGCACAAATGTAGTCAGGACAAATAATTGACCAGAATCTAAGGAACACATTTCTTGAAGGATTTTAGGGCTGGAGGAGATTGCAAAGATAGGAAATGCAAGGTTAAACCGTGTTGATTTAATTACAAAAGACTTTAGCTAGTTGGAGTGTATCGGGTCCACTAACAGGAGTACTGTTTGCGTAAGGTTAGCATTTTGCTTTTAATTGTTTTCATCTCTGTGGATGGGGATAGAAAGAATTGATAGCTCACACCTGGAATGACTGCAGTGATCGTCTGTGGGAATCCAAGAGGAGCTTGTCTAAGCCAGAGGCTCGTATATTGAAAATATCGAGTAATTTTTGCTCAATGGCCCCTGCTATTACTGAAAGGGCAAGAATAAATGAAGCCTTTTGATAGCCAGTGTGATGGAAGCAGAGTTTCCAGTGGTGTGTGTGTGGCAGTCTGTCATTTCTGATCACTTACGGACTGGCCAGTGATATCATAGAATTACAGCACAGAAACATACCATTTTGTCCAAATTGTCCATGCCTACATTAATGTTTCATCTAATTCTGTTTATTTTAGTCTTCGATTCCATGTGCTGTGTGTACTTGTATCATTTCCCCTTAAAGGGCTGTATGTTATTCCATGTGACAGACAGTTCCACATTCTAACCACTCCCTGGGTTTTGACATTCCGAGGAAGCTATTTGATAAATACAACAGTGATCGCAGAGCTGAGAAATATTAGCAAAACAACAGTTCAAGGAGGCAATGTACCTAATGTCTTGTCATTTTTGTGGATTAATAACTCCAATGTAATGATAGTTTGGTTTCTAAAACTCAGCCCAAGCGGAAAACGGTCCAGTGAGATGGTTTATTGGGCCACCCGTCCCGTGTCATAGTGAATTGTAAGTAGGATTGCATTTCTAGATAGATGGCAAAAATAAAAGTTTCTTTTTGTTTCTGAACTTGATTGTGTTGAGACACAGGACTCTGGGCCAGAGGGCACCACTGTTCCTGGGAACGTAGGCTCATCCATCGTGAGGAGTGGTAGGGACGTGTTGTGTGGGTGGTGAAGGAGTTCAAGAAATCATTGAGTCAATGTTGGGTGCCAGCAGGCAGTAAAGATCTGTGTCACTCTGTAATAGTTTGGAGGAGTTTCTGAAATTAATTTCGTTATTATGGTTGTAGCTGTTTTTCTCTGGTAGTGCAAGAAATTGGGTAAAGTTCCCTCATACACTGATATAATGCAGTTAGTTCAGATTTTGTTAAAAGGGTACATAAAGGGGTTTGGACGTGCAGGGTCATTCACTTTGATCTAAGAACATGAAACAAAAATGTCATCACGGTCAGAAGTCTGGGAACTGTGGAGGAGTTAAAGAATTCGAGCTATTATGTATGGGGGAGAAAAAGTGATCAAAGAAGTTAAATGAATGTTGGCCTTTATCTTAAAGGGGCTGGAATAGAGAGGACAAAGCTATTCTCCAGTCAGGCAGAGCATTACTCAGACCCGATCTAGAGTACACCAATCCAAACGGACCATGTTGACCTTGGATCGGTTACAGAGTAGATTTGCAAGTATTATGAGAACCGATTGCGTAATCTTGGCTTGTGTTTCATGTAGAAGAAGTGGGAGCTTACTGACGTGTTTGAACTATTAAAAGGATTCAACAGGGAAGACACAAATGAGCTCCCTCCTTTGGTGGAGAGTTCCATAACTGGGAGGTGTGATCTTAAAATTAGAACTAGACCATTCAGGTGTGAGATGGACCTTTGCACAAAGAGTAAATGGAGTCTGGAATTCCCATCTGTAGAAAACTTAAAAGCATTGAAAACTTCAAGAATGAGATCAGCAGATTTTCATTACCTAAACATTTATTGGGATCTGCAGCAAAGGCAGGGAGTGAGGTTCAGGTTCAGATCGGCTGTGATCTAATTGAATGGAGTCCAGTGCCTGAATATGCTACTCCTGCTCCAATGTTTCTGTTTCACAATAATACAACTATTATTCCATGCTCATTGAAAGTTATGAATAACCATAATATTTATGGCCATAACTAATAAGGTAATTATTAATAAATCCATAGCAGAATTCAGAAGAAACATGTTTTTACTTCGGAATATGATTATAATGTAGAATTCATTACTAGAAGTGGCGTCTGGGGCAAAAAGCATAGGTTCCTTTCAGAAAATGTTAACTAAATGCTCGAGTGATAAAGGAATAAAAGGAATCCCTAACAAGGTGGGAGGATTCCCAGGTAGTACACAAACCTATTAGAATCAACAATACAAGAACAGAATGCTTTAATCTATGTAATTTTGTTGTTCAGTGAATGATTTAAATGTGGGTGTCGTTGACTAGAACAGCATTCATTGCCCATCCTTTAATTATGCTGGTGAAGGTGATGGTGGTGAGCTGCTTTCTTGAATCTGGAGTCTGGTTGCTGCTAGGAAAGCGAGTTCTACGATTTTGATCCAACTGAGTTATAGCTCCAAGTCAGGATGGCATGTGGCTTAGAAGAGGCAAACTTTCAGATGATGGTTTCCCATGTTTTCCCAGATGATAGATGCCACCGCTTTGTTGGAGAAGAGTCCTGTCAAATGAGCCTTGCTGAATTACTGCAGGGCATCTCATAGATAGCACACACTGCTGCCTCTGTAATGGGGGAGAGAGCTTCAAAGGTGGTGGAAGGGGCTGCTGATCAAATGGGCTGCCTTGTTCTGAATAGCTCCAAGCATCCCGAATAAAAGTATCGGCAGCACCAGCCTAAAGATTCAGGGGATGTGCTGCGACATTGAAAGTTATAAATAGACAATTGTAAACACAGGGATCGTCTGAGACTGTCTGCGAGTTTCCTATTGTGCGTTTGACAGCTGAAAAGAGGGCTTCAAAGGACACTGATTCATGACCCTGACAGAATAAAAAGGTTTGTTGCTTTTGGACAAACATCACGGCTTTGGAATTTATGTGGCTCTTCCTGAACTGTTCTGCTTTCTGTTGGTGTCTACTGTAAATGCTGGACTGAACAAATAATGAAGCCAGTGTGAGGAAAAGACTCTGATTTGAAACAATGGCCAGAATCTTCTGTTTAGAATGTGAGAGACTCGGTATCAGTTCTCCACTCCTGACTGTCAAAAGTCCATTTGAGATTTTCTGAGAGACAGCCAATTAAGAGCCCACCTCTGGATCCAATTTGTAGTGAGGGGATGGGGGGACGGACAAGTTGGTTCCCGTGGTTACAGGCCTGATTTTGAGGGCCCCTCTGAAGAAGTTCAAATCCAATTAAGGAGATGGGGGGAGCACCTCTGCAGGGCCACTGAGATGGGGAGAACCTTTCAGAAGGTTGGCTGCAGCATCAGTAAGGAGGGCGGCTGGGAGATGTTGAAACAGGAGGCTTTTTGGCCTCCTCCCCCATGACCAGCCACAAGCAAGCCACCTCCAGGCCCCTGCTTAATTTCCCCACAGTGGGGATGCCCCGAGTAATTGAATTAGTCCATTCAAATGGGCTTGTAGTCATCCAGTTTAGCTACCTGGCCTACCAAGTGGATAGCCTCTCCTGATACTGAGCCTGCCTCTGGCAATCTCACAAAGGAGCAAGAACCTGGACATGTATTTCACTGAAGTTCCTCCTCATCTCCCCTTGAACTCGACCTTCACTGGACTGAAGTTTCTGCCTTCTATTAGTTATGTTTAGAGGACCTTTTGGTTACATTTGAGGGGGAGTTTTCCAGAAGCAGCTTAGGTTTGGACGAATTGCAAAGCTCTCTCTCTGCCAATGAGATGTCATGTCTGGCCAGAGGAGGCCACTTAGAGGCAGGAAGTGCTATCTGTCAGAAGATGCGCATTGTAAAATCTTTGCCTGTTCTCACTCGAAGGAGCAGCAGTGAATTTCAGGTTGTGGTTCAGAATACCACATCGAAGTAAAATAAAAACAGCCATTTTACAGACACAAATGACTCATTTGGTAGAACAGATAGAGAATGGGACTAAACTTGGTGCCAGGTTTCTGAAACGTTTAGAATATTTTCATTTTAACTATGTCCACTGTATCCTAGTTATTTATATAAAGAGTGCTGTTTTTCAAGCCTCTGTCAATAGCAAAGGGAAGAAATCCTTTGCGAATATAGACAGTTCTGAGGGACCTCCTGTAAGTATTGGGATGCATGTTTCTAAAAAAACTGATGCTATATAAGACAAGTCAAACCTTGGATTTGGCTCCCTCCTAAAATGAAAGATTTCTGGGTGGTTGGTGTACTTTCGCTTGTTATTTTAATGAGGTGGTGAGTGCATTAATTTGTCCCCACGTCGGACAATACAATGAAATGTTCACTTTTTTTAATGCTGCGTTTTTCCCATATCTCTGATTTAGGAACCAGTGAAGAAAAGTTGAAGAAATCAGAAGAAATCGAAGGCACAGACCCAGCCGAAGAGCATCAGTTTTCAGATGTTGAGGAGTCTGATGATGATGATGACAATGATGATGATGATGAAGAGGAGGAGGAAGAGGAACAGTTTGTGAAGTCTTCAGAGATTGCAAGTACCAGTCCACAAACAGCTGGGACTGCATCAACATCATACAGAGGGGAAACTACCGTCCTGTCACTAGAGACCACTTCAAAGCAGGGATCTAGTTTAACCAGTCAGTATTCATTGACAGGTTACCCCATGTCACCACCTCAACTTCATACCGCAAAGCCAATGAAATCCTTGGAGTCAAGCATGGTTCCTGTGTGTCATGGTGTCTCACAGGCAAAACCTGAAGGAAGTATTTCAGTGCCACCATTTACATCTGCTGAACAATTTTTACCGATGCAAGGAGATCCTCTGATGAAAAGGCAGACAGTGCTAAGTCCAGATATTTCACCGTCAAGAGAGACATCACCTAGAAGGCCATGGTCTCCGAAAAGGGAATCATCACCTAGTAGCCTTTTATATCCAGGAGGGGACATCCCATCTGGGAGACACTCATCACCAGAAAGAGAGGCATCGGTTCAAGAGCACTTGTCCCCACCAAAAGAGATGTCCCCTCGGAGACATTTTTCACCAGGCAGAGAATTATCATCCAGGAGCTGCCCATCACCAGGGAGAGGTATGTCACCAAGGAGACGTCTCTCTCCAGGCAGAGAGGTGTCACCGAAGAGATGTCTATCACCGAGGATCGAAGTGCCGTCTGGGAGAGTGTCACCTCAAACACGTTTGTCACCAGAAAGAGATGTGTCACCTGGGAGAACTTTGTCACCAGGTATGAAAATGTTGCCTTCAAGGTACCTTTCTCCAGCAAGAGAGATCTCTCCAAGGAGACAACCGTCACCAGTACAGAAAGAATCGTCTGTAAGACACTTGTCCCCAGTAAAAGATGAATTGCCAAGTAAATGCCTGACATCAAGTTGGCAGAGTGCCCAAGGCTCCTCTTTTCCTGCAAAGCACAGTGGCTCATCTTCATTGGGTCTACCTCCAAGGATATCTAGCAAAGAGCTGGAACAATCTGAATCTAAACTGGTAAGAAAGATAAAGATACTTCATAAAGTTCTCCCCAGTGGTGAAGAACGGCTTAACCATTACTGATACTAGGCAAATCTAGTTCAGCTCTGCAATTCCTCTTCTGCCTTCCAGACAATCAAGGCTCAGTAGCAAGTGGTTATGGGGTAACTCTGAAGTCTGGACTAAAAATCCAGGAACACCAGTTCAAATCTCACTACAGCAACTGTGGAATTTAAATTCAGTTAACTAACTAAATCTGGAATTAAAAAGCTAGTATCAGTAATAGTAAGCATAAGCATGCTTAGTTGTTGTGAGAGCCCACCTGATTCACCGACCCTCCTGAGAGAAGCAAATCGGTCATCCTTATCTGTTATGTCCTCTATATTACTCCAGATCCACAGTAATATGGTTGACTCTTCACTTCCCCTGAAATGGCCTAAAAAGCCCATTAACTGCATTCACTTTATCAGAGCCAACCAGAGATGTGCAGTAAGGACCGGTCTTGAAGATAAAAACCTACGGAATGATCTTTTGTCTGATCACTCTTGGAATGTGGACATCAGTGGCAAGGCCAGCATTTATTGCCCCACTTTAGTTGCTCTCTTGCACTTCAACTTGTGGCATGCTGGGCATTTCATCAGGCAGTTAAGAGGCAACCATGTTGTAATGGAACTGAAGGCCATAAGGGTTCCTTCCTAAAGGATATCAGCAAACAAGTTGACCGTTCATAACTTTCCAACAGTTTTGTACTCACTTTTTTTGATTTCAGATTCCAGGTTGTGGGCCTAGTGTGGGAAAGTGGGACTAGTGTAGGTAGTAGAATATTTTGGTGGTACATACTCGATGGGCTGAAAGGCCTCTTCTGTGCTGTATGATTCTACGATGTTCTCAAACTTCGGAATTTAAGCTCTCAGCCTACGGTTTAATAGTCCAGTAACATAACCACAATGCCACCGTGCCTTTTGTTAGCTACAACCATGCTGAATTTTCCAGACTGTAATGCTGAGTGTTTTCTCGAGAGTCCAGATAAGTAGTGACCAGCATTCACTTTCTGGCAGCAGACAAGCCTTTTTTGTTAAATTGTTTTTTCTGCTTTCCCTTGTTTGCGTTGGAATCAGATGCTGATTTTACCTTTCTGAGCATTTTGCAAGTTTAATGCTGAGTCAGCTGATGATAGCTATCATTCTGAGGCTCATTTTACTGCAATTCTGCAAATTGCAATTTATTCCTTAGCTATGTTTTTGCATAAACATGTGTTTGCACACATTTCCCTTTCACGTTTTTTCCTTTGGCGTCTCCTGTTTCTGCTCCCTTTTACTTTGACAACATTTCTGTGAATTGGCCTTGGATATAATATAACTCAGACCACCATAATGTAATTACCACAAGTGCATCCACAATGCTGCTATCAGCATGGGCAGCAGTACATGATTGGGAGCATTCCGAGAGAGCTTTACTCTGTATCTAGAAGCACTCAATCTGATCCATGTGTCATGAATATGACTTTGGTTGATTTAGAACAAAAAAAGCTTCCTCCCCTAACAATGCTCAGTGTTACAAACTGTTTACAGTGAAAACACACATGCACACAAGCCCCTTTCCAAAGCCCTCTTCATGCTCAAACAGACCAATGTCTCTTTCCAATTCCCTTCCCCATCACTTATTTACTCAGCTGCCTCTCTTTCCAGTTCCTCTCCACCCCAAACATACATTCTAATCCTCTCCCACCTTCACCCCTTTGATCTAGCTGCCAGTGTCTACGAAGTAGAATTGCTAGCCCAGGGAAAGGAGCCTGTACAACAGACTCCGGAGCAGAACAGGTCCAGATCTGAAGCCATCACTCACCTTCACAGCTCAGCTGCATGACCTTACATTTATTCTTACTCTCCATCCGTGACCAAATTACACTTGCCACCTTCTAACAGTGCCAAGTTAGCGTGCAGGCATCCTGAGCTCACTCAGCACTCGCCACTAAAATTGTCTTTTGAAATTGAGGAGCATTTTGAGTTCGCCGTCCACGCCTTGCTGTTGGGTAGCATTGATCCAGTGTTTCAAGGCTAACCCTGTCACTACCTCCAGACAGGAATGCTTCCTCTCCACAGTCATAGAACGTGGAACATAGAACTGTGCAGCACAGGAACAGGCCCTGCGGCCCACAATGTTGGGCTGAACATGACGCCAATTTAAACTAATCCTTTCTGCCTGGCCTTGGTCCATATCCCTCCATTCCTTGCATATTCATGTGCTTATCTAAAAGTCCCTGAAACACCCCTATTGTATATGCCTCCACCATCATCCCTGGCAACACATTCCAGACAACTCCTACTTCCTGTGTTTATAAAAAACTTACCCCTTACATCTCCTTTGAACTTTTCCTCTCTCGCCTTAAATGCATGTACCCCTAGTTTTAGACATTTCAACTCTTGAGGGGGAAAAGATTCTAACTGGCAACGCTATCTTGGCATCTCATAATTTTATAGACCTCTATCAAGTCTCCCCTGAGCCTCTGCTGCTCCAGAGAAAACTACCTGAGTTTTTCTAGCCTCTCCTTACAACTCATACCCTCCAATCCAGGCAGCATCCTGCTAAACCTCTTCTGCACCCTTACCATATCTTCCACATCCTTCCTGGAATGTGGAGACCACAATTGAATGCAATACCCTAAGTGGGGCCTGACCAAAGTCTTATAAAGCTGCAATATGACATCCTGACTCTTGTACTCAATTCCCCAACCAATAAAGGCAAGCATGCCATATGCTTTCTTCACCACCTACTTACTTGCATGGCAGCTTTCAGGGAGCTGTGGACTTGAACCCCAAGAACCTCTGTACATCAATGCTGTTCAAGGTTCTGACATTAACTGTGTAATTTTCCTTAACATTTGATCTCCCAAAGAGCAGCACCTCACACTTACCCGGATTAAACTCCATCTGCCATTTCTCCGCCCATATCTGCAACTAATCTATATCCTGCTATCTCTATCGTCGGTGTTTGGTGGGGGGGCGCTCAACACCAAATGTTACCTCTGTGACCACATTGAAGGTCCCGATTCACAATGTGAGAACTATACATACTATACATCTCAACTACTCCCACTTGGTAGCAGTTTCCACATTTGGAACCAGTCTCTGGTTAAAACAGATTCTCCTAAATTCCATATTGGATTGTTAACGACTGATTTGTATCTATGGCTCCCAGTTCTTGTTTTTCCCACAAGTGAAACTGAGCTTGCACCAAGTTTATCACCTGTAATGACTACTGAGTTAGCATTTTTACAATGCCTTAATGTAGAAACCATCTAAAGTTGCTTCAGAGGTGCAAGGAAAAAATGGGCAACATTAAGATGTTAAGAGGGGGTGAAATTTAAGTAGGATCTTCAAAGAATGAGAGGGATGTGAATGCACAATGAGAAATTTACAGGGAAGTGCAAGGGTAAGGCTGTGAGGGTTTAAAATTCCAGTACAAGAAGTGTACATTAGAAGGCACCATTAATAATATTTTGCATTGGTCTGGAGTTCTGTGAATATATTTGCTTAGAGAAAAATTCAACAGCCGACCATTAACATGTGAAATATTCCAAGGGACTTCACAGAAATATTATCAAACAATAATTTGACAGTGAATTGATGAAGGAGATATTGGACCAGTGATTAAAAGCTTGGTCAAAGGGGTGCATTTTAAGGAACATCTTTAATGAAGAGTCAAGAGGCAGAGAGAGAGAAATGGAGGGAATTCCAGAGTTTAAGATCTAGGCAGCTGATACACAAATGTAAATGGTGAAGTGAATAAAATTGTGATATGTAGAAGTTCAGAATTTAGTGAGTATAGAGATCAGTAATAAAAGAATAATAAGAAATAATTTCATTGTCAGAAAGATGTAATTAATCTCCTCTTCCTTCTCTACTGTACAGAAGATGTCTAGAATGGGCTATCGCAGTATACACGAAGAGCCAAGTACACCATCCCACGCCTTGCATTTTCTTTCTTCAAGAAATACTCAAACTGCACTGGAAGGACAAAGTTACAGTGGGCTGACTGGGACCGCACAAGATTATGTTTTCAGTCATCTTCCTCTGCACTCTCAGCAGCTGGTCAGGACACCCTACCCCATGATTCCAATTGGTGGAATTCAGATGGTTCAATCAAGGCCAGGCTGTCATTTAGGCTTGGTGCCTTCTGCAATAGTCTCTCGACAGTCAGGCATTCCTGTGAATCCAACTGCACTTGATCCCTTTAGTGCAACTAGGACAGAGACCACAGTACATTTCGAAGAAGGGGTTTTGCTGAGACCCAAATCAGCCGAAGCAATGACTTCAACATCTTTGCCTTTGCCGCAGCTTTCAGTTCCCACAGCCCCTGTTGTGACAGTACCTTCTCTCGCTAGAAGTAGTAAACCAAGCGTTACTTTACAGAGGACAGAGACTGTTGAGCTAGAAGAAGCAGCAGCATACAAACAGGAGGAATACAGGGTACCAATTTATTCTGAACCCAGCACTATCGCCGCTCTGAGCCACTCGGGGCAAGATGCTGGCTCAGCCAGACTGGACAGCCCCAGCACCAGCCACGAGCACTCTCCAAAGCCTTCGACAAGTGGAGAAGGATCTTCAAAGGATCTGAGCAAGAAGCAGTTTGGGTGTTCAGGCACCTACTATGAGTCAGCCCGCACTTTAGCCACCACGCAACCTGCACATCCTTTACAGGGAAGCAGCAGTAGTTCATCAGAGTCTTCAAATCCTTCCCGCTCTTTCCAAACCAGTACTGGCAGGACTGCTTCAAGTGGACAATGTCACCCAGTTAGAACGCAAAGCAGAAGCAGCCCAGAGTATAAAGATGAAGGTTTTGTGCACCTTGATATGCAAAAGGACAATAAGACAGGAAGTTCATAGCATCCACAGCCATGCAGATTCACCTTTTGAAGAAGATGCAATGGGCATTTGTCAACACTATTTTCCTTCCTCATACTCATGAATGTTGTTCGAACAAAACATTCGCATATATATATATATAGTAAACATGACCAAAATCATCAGAAAATTCCTGTTTAAAATTGTCCAAGTCCAGTATTATTTAAATGTACACAGTTACTTGTGCCTTTCTCTTTTATTTTGTGGCTACAGATGTATAGGATGGGAAGGGAGGGAGGGGGGGAAAAGGGTGAAGAGAAAATGATTTGAGGCTGTGAATATTTTTAAAAGCAATGTAATTGATTCAGAGTAGCTGTCTGTTTTTTCATTTGGAATTACTTTGAGTCAAATGACGTGAAACAAAAGGGATTAAAACATTGGTGTGATGATGCACTGAAGACTTATTTTTATATTGATAAAATGTAAACTGCTTGTGTACAGAAATAATTCTATGAAGCATATTTATTGTATTCTGTATTTAATTGTTTATAAATGGCTACATTTTCTCAGCATCGTGGTGGTCTTTCTGTGCGCTTTTTATAGCTTCTTAAGCAGAAATGATTACAAAAAAATTGCTTGATTTTGACCATGGTTTTGTTTACCCTTTTGTAATGATTGACTCTCAGCACTTAGACTATCCTGATAAGGATTCTTTCACATTTAACACCTTCTATTAGTCTAGAGAAAACAGAATTTCAAACATTTGAAAACCAGGAAAATCAGTTGTGCAACAAAGTTGCACCAGGGTCAGTATCACAGATTCCAGACTGTGGGGGTCCATTTTGTTTTGGAATATAGCTTTGTAATAAAACACTGACCCAAAAGATCAACCAATTGCATCCTGAACTACAAATCATGTCAGTACCCTGTGAACAATCTGCTATTTAATGCTCGAGAGGAACTGTTAGTCCTGCAGTTCCCAAAGCTGTCCACTACTGAGGGCTTTATTTGTATCATGTCTGGGTCTGTCGTAGACTAAGTGATAAGAGATTAATTGCCATAATTAGTCATTTGCCATGTGACTACCAGGATGGTGGTAGATATACTAGTTGGACTGTCATCTCTCTTCTTTATCCAGCAATGTTAACAACTTTGAGATGCAGAACTTTTAAATAATGAATTGAAGGATGCACAGTTCCCAAGTCCAAAGATGCTTTTGGAGAACCTCCTATTTTTACTTATTTTTGATGTTTGTTGTGGCCTTTTTTGGGTGGGGATAGGGAGAGAAAAGCTGAGGACAGTTACTGGTGGGCTGTCTTTTCAATAGTGTCTTTTTAGTACCTTGACTTAATTGAAAAAGATTTTGTCCACAGTCTGCAATATTTTGTCAGTTCTATTGAATGTAATTTTAGATATAAATGTAATATACATAAAATGCACTTAAAAGCATTTCAGACACTTTCAAATGGAATATAGGTGATGTGAAAGAGTTCTTAAGTTTTATATTTGCTCTCTGACATTCCATCATTTTGGCTGCACTCAAATGCTTATGCATAGTATTATTTTAAATTTAGCTAGCTAATGCAAAATTAGAAATTCCCCATTACTGCAGTGGTCTGAAGGTTTACCTGCATCCTTTGTTCTATTATCAAATCTCATAACCCCTTTTCTCCACTTAATGCCCCTTTTCACTTCAAAAATGTTGCCCATTTTTATGAAAATAATTCCTTTTGGCATTGAAATATAATATTCCTTTATAATGATCATGTTTCTACTTGGAAAATGCTCTGTTTACAGCCAGGGAAACCTTATTCCACTGTGCGTGATGAATTCAAAGAGACAGAGTTCTTGTTTCAGAATTACGGAGTTTCCGTGCTGTCTCATTCGGGCTTTGATGCAAGTTTGATCATTGTAGCATAATGTTACTGTTTAAGGCCAGCTGACTGATTTTCTGAATGAATTTACGTAACCTATCACTGACTGTTACTTTTCTTAAGACAAACAAAATGGGTGCATTATTAAATTAGCAGTATTTTCACTTAAATAAGCCTCAGAACCAAGCCTGCAATGGGCCAGTGAAAAGGGGCACTGTCTCTTTTTTTTATATATTTAAAAAAAAATTGATGCCAAAATATTTGGCGGTCTTGACTTTTTAATGAAAGAAAAAGGAAGATCTTGAATTGTACACTTGCATGATATCAGCAGTTTGGCACTTAATCCCACTTTAATTCCTGTAGTGTTAACGTGAAACCTGTCTTGTTAAATTTGATACTTTTCAAAAATATTAATTGTTCTCCTTTTCAGAGATTATGTGTAATAATGTTGTCTGTTTAAAAGGAAAAGTTTATATACATTTTTTGTTAAAAAAGGCAATACATTCCAAAAGACAACTGTAAATACATATAGGTATACTATGTAATTGGTAAAATTGCCTGTAATTATTTTGAAACACCAATTTCTAGTACTGCACCTTGCAACACTTGTATGGGGTGAAACCATATATAAATGCAGGTAACAAAAGCACAGAGATCATTGTAAAATAAAAGAAAATAAATTTTAAAAGAAAGAAAAAAAAAGGAAGAAAAATACAAAAGACCTGGAGGTCAGTATTTGATGTCTGTGATCCCTATTGTACACCTACACATCTGTACTGTTAATGGAAATGTTTTTCACAGGTATTCTATTTGTCTTTACCACTGTTCAAAGTTGGTAAAGGAGTTGGGCATATTTTTTAAAAAGCATGTTGGAATAAATTTTACAAACTCGATGCGTTTCCAGGGTTGTCTCAGTGCCCTTGCCTCAGGTGTTGCTTGTTTAATCCTCTGATGCTAGGCTTTTTTTTTAAGCGTATTAGAATATTCTGAAGGTATATCCTGACCGTTTTTGTAGCTCCATGGCAATTCTTGAATGATTATTGGTAAAAATCTGTAAATGCCCCCACCATCACCCCCTTTCCCAATTTGTAAATGGTGAGGCCAGCTGGTAATGAGACTCTGTGACATTCACTGGGGCAGTGTGGCTGAACACATCCAGAGGAGGAGACAAAAACCTAAGCATCCTGAGGAAAGAAATGTGCATAACTTAAACTGCTTTGTAGAATGTCACTGTTGTGGTCACTAGGACAGGCCCCATTAGATCTACAAATTGATGAAATAACAGCCCAAAGCATCTTTGCTACTTTTCCAACAGAGTCCATTATTATCAGTGAGTGCAAAGTCTAGGCTGAGACTTTAGTGCAGCGTTCCTTTGATACTGCACTGTTGAAGATGCCACTAAATCATGATCTCAACTCTCCTCTGAGGTGATTGTGAAAAATCAATAGTATTATTCAAAAAAAACAAGAAACTTCCCATTGACATGCCCTAACTACCATTTATTCCTCAACCGACATGAAAAACAGACTATCTGTTATTACCATGTTTCTGTTTCAGACACTGCAGTTTTGGCTGCTATGTTTCTGACATTACTACAGTTTCTAAGCTTTGAAACAAAAAAATAATTCAGTGATAGCTATAAACCACTATGGGATGTCCTGAGGTCATGTAAAGGTGATACATAAATGCAAGTCTTCCTTTTGGTATAGAAAGCTGGTTGTTTACCTACCACAATGACTCAAAGTCAATGCTCAGTTGTATTAGGTAAAGAAAAGTCCCTGAAGTCCCACTCTCTCATTAGGGCCATGATGTCTAGGCAATACAATGACTTTGAGAAAGAGGGACTTTTGTGGTAAGCTGAGCTGGTGCAGGAATTGAACCAATGCTGTTGGCATCATTCTGCATTGCAAACCAACTTTCCGGCCAACTGACCCCAAGCAGATTATCTTGGGGCTGTTCATTCCTAGCCCAGTGACATTACCACCATGCCACTACCTCCCCTTTTATGTTAAATTAAAAGGTTATTCAGCCCTGCAGGGAGCACTTGCTTCAATCAGCGCATGTGTATGATGTACAAAGGAGGTCACCAAGCTACCCAATCCCCTCTGCAAGGGTCTGATTATTTTTCCAACCAATGCAACCAACTCCAGAACCCATGGATTCTCCATGGATGTCAGTGTGAAATAACTTCCCATCCATAACTTGTCCTTTCCCCACTACCACTAAGATAGAGTTCTTATCTGCTCTACATGGACCTTTCCTGGAAGACTGGTGGTAACAACACTCTTCAACAAATATTTTGATCATGTACCTACATGCAGATGATTTGGATGGGATGCTGAGCAGTGCAAAGATTGTGCCTGAGCTCTCAGAACGATTAGTTAGCAAGGTGCCTCCTGGGTCTGCTTACAGAAAGGTCCAGCTTCCCCCGTGCCTCCTCACTCACCACCAAAGCAACCAAGGCCCAGTATCTGCAGAATAGAGAACTGGCTTGTATTTACATAGTCCCTTTCATAGCTTCAGCATGTAACAAAGCCTTTCGCAGTGGAGTATCAAGTGTTGGTGCAATTCCATCCACTTCCTGCCCCACCCTGACCGTCTAAGAAAAGGTGTAACGAAGGGACGTGTTCCAATCCAAAGAAGTGACCTTCAGTGCACCCCACCCCAGTATTAAGGAAATGCCAAAATATCTGCCTGGGAGATGTAATTTGAGTTGCCCACCACTCTGAACACTATCAAAAAGAAGAAAATGAGCAAGTGGGATAGTCTTCCTAGGAGAAAAAAAAAGATAGTAAGAAGATTTGATGGATGTATTGAAATTTATGAGGGGCCTGGACAAACGAGGTAAGGAGCAATGGTTTCCATTGGCAGGATGATCAGGAACCAGAGGGTCCTCTGTTAAGGTGATTGATAAAGGAAGCAACAGCAACATAAGGAAAATCATTTTTACACAGTGAGTGATTAGGATCCAGAATGCACTGCTTTGGCATGTGTTGAAGGTATTTTCAATTGAGGCTTTCAAAAGAGAATTATCTGAAAAAATATCAAGGCTACAGGGAACGTGTGCATAAGTGGATTAGTTGAATTGTTTTTGGAGAGATCCTGGGCAGACAAGATGGGATGAATTGCCTCCAGTGATGTGACCATTCTGTAGTTCTAAAACAAATCAGAACAGCTGGCTAGAGCTACTTTAACAACGGACAGCAAAGTGATACACAGGCAGGGCACATGACATTACAATCCAAGTGTATCTAAGAGATTTTTTTGATGAAAGCAATGAACCCTTCTAGCCAGACTGCAGCAAGCACAAACACCGCTTTCCGAAGTCGACCATTACTTTCACACACATAAGGACCCATGTAATCGTATCAATTATTCAAGTTGTTTATAGTGACCTTGACTAT